TGCTGCGTTCATGCAGGCTCGGAAATGCTGAAGCCTACAGAACAAACATCGGTTATAAAAAAAATACCGATAATTCCCGATATTACATTTTTTTGTGAATATCGGAATATCGGCATACCTAGTTTTAACTGATGAGCTTGCAACTTCACATTCATAACGGCATCTGGTAAAAGGTTTCTAGAATGTTCTCTTTCCTTAAGACATAACGTACATAATTGTTGATGACTTGCAACACAAAGTACAAGGTTGTTAAAGGACTGACTGTTGAGGAAATAAAGCCTGTTAGCTTTTATTACAGAACAGACTTGATAACCACTCTGGTGCCACGTTTTGAGCTCTTACTAGTTTGCAGCTGCACTTTTGCCGCAACCTCTTCCTAACTCTCAAATGAGCTCCAGAAGGATTAATGCTGCAGTGTCAAGCTCAGGTTTGCCATTAAAAATACCTCTGCATGGTGTCTGCCGCTGCCTCACACACACACAAGCTGCTACCCATCGTCTTTATCTACAGTCACTTTCCAGTTTGTCGAGAATCAGCATATCCTTAAATTATTTAGCTAATTTTCTTTTCTATGTCCTTCTTATCCTATTGATCTTATTGTGCTTGAGTAGCAAAGGTACTTAGATTAGTGGCCAAGCTATTTCCATGATAACCCTTTCAGCTGGTTTTATGGCTGTTTTGTTTCATTTCCAATTGCCTCTTAATGAAGCGCTAACAGCTAACCCGTGGTAACTGATGTATTTCCCCCCCATAACAAATGCAGCGGATCGTAGGTGTGTAAACTTTGCACTAAAAACTTTCCTCTCTTTCAGACACACAAAAAAGAAATACTTACCGCAATTTTGTAATTAGCATAGAAATCAAATCAATGGCAATCCAAGGTAGTAAAATGTGTTTGCCTGTGTTAACTGGATTTACGCTGCACAGTTTTTTCTCTCCACCTGGCTTGCGTAAACAACAACTCTGCTATTCATCAGTGATGTTTTGCCTCTATTGTCTTTATTAAGTTTACCCCTCCCTTGTGAGCAGCCATTAGACAGCTCACAGTGAAGAGGTTATATTACCTGCTCTGCCTAATGAGATAAAGTTCTGGAAATTCAGCCAAACTTTGTAAAGGGCTGCACTTTTTGCACACTTACAGTAGGAAGAGCATTCAGATTTTCAGTATTGCTTCTAATCCTGATCTGCTGTCAGGTGTGTGTCTGAAATATCTGTCCCCTCCTCCCTCTAGCAAACAGAGATTTAATGCACAGTTTTTCTGTCAACAGGCAACAATGAATGCTCGGCCTCAGAGGATCCTGGACTCTGGATCGCTCACCCAGTCGGCCCCAGCCAGCCCCACCAGCAAGGGCACGCACATCCACCAGGCTGGGTGAGGGACGCTCTCTCACACACACACAAACATCCAGATATACAGAAAAGTCATTACCAGTTAAGCCCCAAAACATACACTGCATGCATACAGCTCACTCAGCTTTCCTTCTGCCAAGACCGAGACAAATTCATTGAACAGACTAGGCAGTGGAAGGAACCTGCAGTTGAAGAATGTTAACTTTGTAGAAAAACAATTGTTTGCAGAATAAACCCCTTAAAATGTCATTTTCAAAAGGATTCTGACAAATGGTGCTATGTAGCTCAAGGCTGGCAACAAAATGAGAGAAAAAGATTGAGAAGACTGAGAAGAGAGAGAGACAAAATTAGAGTAACAGAAGTAGTGACAAGATTGTCATGCTAAATCCAAGTTATAATGATAAATATGATAAGAGGCTAGTTTTTAACTATTTAAATTAGGTTATGTTTTTGTTTTGTATCTGTTTGTGTAGAGACTAAGGTAATGAAAATGTTCTGCCACTTCGTTTCTTGTCCCTCATTTTCCTTTCTCTGTTCCTCCAGTGGCTCTCCTCCCATGCCTAGCACCAGCAGCTCCAGTCTGACCAACGAGGTGCCCAAACCCCCCGCCAGAGAGCAACCGGCAACACGGCCTCCCTACACCCCCACATTGGGAGGACAGGCGCCCCACTCTCACCAGTTCCCCCGCACTCGCAAGATGTTTGACAAAGGACCTGAGCAGGTAGAGGAACACCCCACAGCAGCTACGGTTCTCACTTGAACCTTATATTTTTAAGTTTGTTTTTTTCTGTGTAATTTAACTTTGTGTGTGTGTGTGTGTGTGTGTGTGTGTCCAGGCAGCTGAGGATGGTGACGAGCCAGGTGGTCACAGGAACTACATCAGTCCCGCCCTCCAGACGGGTCTGTGTGATTGGAGCGCCAAGTATTTCGCTCAGCCTGTTACGAAGGTAGTTTCAATGCCTCTCTCACTCTACCCTGCCAGTGTGCGTCAGATGACAGCTGTGTGTGTGTATTGTGTCACAGTGATAACAGAACAATCTTAAAACAGCATGTCAGTTAAGTTATTGCTTCAATGAAATGCAGGTAACACATTATTGAATTAAAAGAGAGAAAGAGCAAATTCATCTTTTTTTAATCAATATTTAAAAAACATATTTTCTTTCAAGCCTTGATGTTCTTGAACAGCAGCTTAAAGTGGTTGCTAAGCAACAAAGAAGTAGTGATATGACAGGTAATTTTCCGTTTTCACATAAATATTTATGTGAAGAGGTGTCATGGGTGAACGTTTGCCATGTATTTTACAATTCATGGCCTTAAGGAGTGACTGAGCCATTTGAGGACATGAACCCGCTGTTAGAGAATGTATTTCAGAAAATAATAAGAGTCCTATGGAAAACAGCAGGGCAGGGACCAATCGCAGTGTGAGAAAGTACCTGCTGCTCGTACAAGATGGCTTTGCTGAATAATTGAGCTCCATAAGTTAACATCCTCCCGAGTGAAATTTAAGATTAAAAGAAGAAGTGCTTCTTACCATGCACGGTTGGTGCCTTATGTTGTAATATTAAATCAAGCTTCTGTCTCTTTAAACACTCTAAACAGTCCATCCTCTCTGAAAAGGAAGAGGTAAAACAAATGGTGTCAGCACATTTTGTCGAGGTTAAATAAAGAAGGAGGAAATTATTTTTAAAAAGTCGAGCGTGAGGGTCAAATAGAGGAGAAAATAGAAAGTTTTGGGAGTGGAGGACGAGAAATAAGTAAGAAAAGTTTTAGAAATGAATGTGTGCATGAGAGAAAAAGTGGCTGATACAGAAAGAGAGCGCAGAGAAAAGTAGATTTTAGTCAAATAAAATATTTACAACACAAAGACATTTGGGGCAAAAAGAGGAGTGGGGAGATAGAGAGAGTGCACAGAAATGAAAAAGTAAGAAATAATGAAAATAAAATATTTGAAGGGGAGAGAAGACACCGAGGGGCAGATAGAGGTGGAAGGAGAATGTGGGAGAAGAGGAGAGACAGGTGTTGAAAGTGAAGTAAACTGTATAAAGAGCATGGCAGCAGGATGAAAGGAAGACAGAACAGGACAGAAGTGGCAAGAAAAGGTGGTGAAAAGCAGAGAGATGACTGGATGGGAAGAGTGAGTGAAGGAGCAGGCCGAGGAGGAGGAGGAGGAGGTGCAGGGTTTTGCCGTAGCACAAAATCAGAACGCTGTGTCTGCAAAATTTTGAGTGCTGCCATAAAACTCCACTCCATTACAAAGCTGTGTGTGTGAGTACGCCTCAAAGTCTGCACACAGGTTATCATATCACTGTGTCAGCAGCATGAGGGCAAAATGTGTGTGTGTTTCAGAGTGTATCCATGCATACAGTTTTAGGGGTGTGTGAGGAGCGAGGACATTGAAGACTTCGCGAGAGTGGAAAAAAAATGTCCACAGCTACAGGTTCATATCTGTGAGAGAGAGAGAGGAGATCAACAGCCCTGTCCACATACTGTGTGTACACTTGGTGTGAGGCAGTGTCTCATAGTTTGTGCTAGGCTCTCTTGCAATCAAGGGAAAACTTTATGCACACAAAGATCTTTTACACAACAGCATGCTTCCAATTTTGAGGCAACAGTTTCCACATGACAACGCCACCGCGCACAGAGCCATGTCCATAAAGAAATGGTTTGGTAAGGAAGAATTTGACTGGCCTGCCCAGTGCCCTTAAGGATTTTGATATAAAATGATTTTTTTGACATGCCGTTTTTAGCGGGAGCCCAGAAGGGACAAACACTGACTCTACATAGCTCCTTTCATGTTTTTACAAGTTTCCCAGCCGCTGTAGTTTCTCTTACACACTTGGAAGGCTGAACTCAATGGTTGTAACTACACCATTACTAAATCCTACACACTGGTCCTTCAAGTTTTAGCGTTGTGTAACCTGATTGCATATGGGCGTAATGTGTGGTGTCCACTTTTGGTAGTGCACTAGGGATTTTAGTGTATATCCATAATGTGTAGAGCTCTCTCTTTCTCTCTCTTACTCTCTCACACACATGCACACATAATTTTTTACCTAACGGTCTCATTATACGTTACATTAGGCGCTGACAGTGCAGGACCACAACCCTGGGAACCACAGTATCAGCTGGTTCTTACCTTGGCGCACACACACACACACAC